CGCAATTGGGAAATTTTTAGAGATGCATATTTAACAAAATTAAACTTATAATATGCTATTTTATTATTTACCTTTTAATCATTATTGTCTATAATTTATATATAGGTATCATACAATAATAGAAAACTTGGTATAGAGACTTACGAATATACAACAAACTTATGCAATTCTATTTTCCAGGTGTTTACTGCGATATATGTTCCAATGTACTAGCATGGGAGTGAGGTGAATTGTGACTGGTGGGTGCATATATATGTGTGATTTAAGTATACTTTACTCAAGCAACTCTTTAAATCCTTTTCCAGGTCATACCATAATGGGGGTGGGATATGATCCACATTAATGTACACAATTTCTTTTATATATTGCTCTATCTTAAAATTTCAAATCTTTAATATTGTTTAAGGGGACAACAGTTACTTTGTCATGTGAGCGACATTCACGCCTCCCAGTTTTTTCTGACATTTTCTTTATACACAACCGGGGATGTTTGGTTTTTTTTGTTTGAAACATTGAGTTGAATATGCTCAGACACACTCTGAGGAGTGGGACATTTATTCAGATTAATTGAAAACATTCTTAAAGGAGTAAGAGATAAAATAGTGTCTTGTGCTTATAGGGAACTACGGCCAAACTACTATCTCTACGGGTGGTGGCGGAAAATAAAAAGTGGGGCGGGTGAGCTCGGCAGGCAGTTGATGTCTGTCTATGTAATCCAATTATCTATGTCTTTTGCCATGTATATTTGTAAACATTTACCTGTTACATTTAATTAGACATGGGCACTCAAAAAAGACCTCTCTCAAACAAAAAGGGATGTTAAAAGTTAGGCTTGTACTTGAGTGGTTGTATAACATAAAATTAGTCTCGTCCTATAGTGAACGCCTGTATATGAAAACTTTACTCCGTTTTACACCGAAAACATGTTACCCATAGTGTGATGGGGTGGTTAAGTGGTGTTAGATTGAGAGTGGATATCAATTGCAATAATTTTTGTTCACAATCAATTATTATGAGCTTAAAAATAGTCAATATCGTCCTGAAGTTCTATTAATTGACCGTTACAACCGGCAGCAACATGTTGCATGCAATGTTACACCCGCTCAGAAGACGTGGGTACGATATAAACGAAAAAAAGAGGCTGAGTGGTGGTGTGTGGTGTCTCTGTAATTAGTCCATATAATTATTGAGTTGGTTCACCCATGAGTGAGTGTGGTGTAATCTTAAACAATTTAACCATAAAAACTTATAAAACATGCTGTGACGCTAGTTTGTATTTACCTCTTTTAGAGACACCTGTAAGGAGGTATCTCCCCGGATGGGCTTGGCAGGGCTTAAATAATAAAAGATGACGCCCCCCTCTCTGAGATCGTCTTGAAAGCCAGAAATACTTTACGAGCAGTTCGGGTATAAACACAATTGTATATAATGGACGTAAAAGTTTAAAGTTTCCTCGTGTGGGGGGTATACACAAAGCTTACTTTTGATTTTTGCTTTTTGATATTTGAACTCTTGTTGAAATACATTATTGTACAATTTTTTTTATTTATTTGTGTGTAGAATAATTTGTGAGTATACCTTGAAACGATTATTAAAAAAAGTACATCTATCTCAATGTGAGTGTTAACTGTGTTCTCAATTTAAAATTGGAAGAGTGCGTCTTTGATGAGAAGTGATTTTGCGGAGAATTATGTTCAAGAATCAAGACGGACCGAATAGAGAAGGAAGAGGGTGTATGTGATGTGGTGGTGGTTGAGTGATTCTCCTGGATGTTTCTTAAGTGTGTACTGATTTTTGACAAACATCTATTCTTTGAGCGCTGAATGTTGGTGTAAACGGGTAGCGGAATTCATAGAGTGGTGTGTGTACCTCTGGGTGGGTATGGATCCCTGCGTGGTATCCTGTTATAATTTGCAAAACTAGTGTTTTTCTTATCATCTATCTCCATGGAGCCAATACTTGGTGATGGCATATCTGTTTTAGGTTATGACAACCCTAATTAATTACCTTCATTTTTTTGCAAGGAGGAGATATTCAAATACGGCTAGTATGGTTTAACTGCAACTGGACGTGAATTGGGAAGGGCCGGATTGCCCTGAGGGCTCAAAGGCGCTGCCACGAGGTCCAGGGACAGTTGTTTTTGTCGTGGGTTTGAACGAGTAATGGTTATGGGTTTTGTATTCCCATTAAAATATCTATTTTTAAATTGCGCCAATTAACTAATCTCTATTCATGTAATAAATATAGTGATATGGTACCTGATATTTTCAAGAGATGATATTTTAAATCAAAGCTTCCTGTAAAAATAATTCATTATTTAAAAACAAGATCAGCTCTATGCTCTTATAACTTTTAATAATATATATATATATGTTAGGCAAACTTTTATTTTAAACAGCCGGGCGGCCAGATGGTGTGTGTTGGCGGTTGCAATATGTAAGGCGTTCTATACAGAGGTGTTTAATCGGGGGGGCAGGGGGAAAGGTAAACAATTTCCATGGAAGAATGAAGGCGTGTGCAAACCGATGAAAGTAAGCTGAATGTTGTTGTTTGTTAATAATAATAAGAAGGAAAACCTTTTTCATGAGACTGACGCGATAAAGTTTTAAAGTTTCTTCATTTCTGAAAAAAACCCTTCTACTACACATATTCTGAATTAGATCCAAAATAAACCGTTCAGAGAATCTTATGCATGGCTTAATATTTTTGGCATTACATGTGCCTTGTTTCTTAAAGCAATGCTCCTGTGTCAAAGTTGTAAGCAATTATATGTGGTCATGAAGACAGTTTATAAAAGGAAACTTATTGGCACTGGTAACATAACCTAAACAGATTTTTTTTATATTGAATATTTTCATACTGAAAGATGTGGGACTTGCCCCCCCCCCCGGGTGATCTAGATAAATATTAAGATAACCATTGCTTTCCCGGTATCAACATATTGTTATAATTCGAGCAATAGTTTAAAGATTACGCATTAAACCTTATACATATAATGGATATATTATGGAATTAATAAAGCACCCTCGATATCAATTAATGACCTAGAACGACAATAGATAAACTGGTTCGCCCCTTTACTTTTGTTCCAAAATTTGGAGTATGGGTATACTAAATGTATAAAGTGATTATTGTTAATCCTCATTTGTAACTTCACTTATTTTCGTCCCTCTGTCGGCTGCAGGGGTTGTGTGGGGTGGCCGCGTCACCTTTTACCTCAAGGTGGGGGAGGGGTAAAGAAATGTGACAACAGTGGTAGCGAGAGGTATTGAAAGTAGGGCATGCATTTAGCTCCCGAGCGAGAATGTGTGGTTTTCTAGGTTTTGGTTAAGGTGTTGAAGTTGTTTAGCAAGGAGGCCGGCAAGGTAAGCTGAAATCAACTGGTGTGCTTTCCGTGTTCCGTGGCGCCCATATGACCCAAAACTGCAATTCGATGCCCGTTCGCAAAAAAAAACACAAAAAATGATCAAAATTTGCTATTTTTTCCGAAATATTACTATCATGATGTGTCGGAGTTCATATACAGAAAACATTTATCTCAGGTCGTTATCGGGACTAATAGACCACCCAAGTAATACAAATTACAACTTGAATAAGAACTACTTATAATACTGATGGGAATCAGCCAGGTGTTTCCCCTATCTTGTATTTTTTACAATTATAGCATAAGCCTTGGGTAACATCTTTAAATAAACACAAACTTGTGTAGATGGTAGTGTGATGGTTAACGGTTAGGAATCGATGAACTTGAAAAACAAAACCAAAAATTCTTCGCAAAAATATTATTTGAGATGATCTATTTTTTAAACTAATTTTTTTTGTGTTTTTTTTCTTATCGATGTTTTTCAGTAGAGGAACTCCTAATCCAAGAAGGGAAAAATCTCCATCCAAATTTTGTTGAGATGTGGACATATTGATTGCGATATGAGCCGAGATCTGTGATTCTCTCACAAAATGACAGTTCGAGGAGTTCTCATAAAAAACCATCGTTATAGCTCATGATAAGGGCTTTTTATTCCAGTAGATTTCATTGCCGACTTCATGCAAAAATGATTTGAGGAAAAAATGCGTAATCCCCCCAAGCCCCCCCCCCCCCGGTAAAGATAAGTGTGGAGTGGATGTGAGTGTGATATAGCTCCCAGTTGCTTTACCGTCACATGATTGGTTTAAATGGCGACAATATCTTAAAACAGTCACCATTAAAACTTTCGTGGGTGAGAGGGTACGATGTGATAGATTGGAACTATTATTGGAATAATAAAGATGATATCAATCTAATGATCCTAGAACGAATAGATAAATGTCCTTTATTTTGTTCTACATTGGATATTCAAATATTTGATTCTTGAAAACTTATTTTGTATTCTGTCCCTGCGTATAATCGGAGTGGTATTACCATTGGAGTGAGTGTGGCCAAGAGTGTATTTAAATAATGGTGTTGATCGGTGGGTTCATGTGAATATAATTTAAAGAAGCTTGTGGTGTTTAAAAAAGTATTACGTCTAACAAACTGCTGCAAGGGGACAGGCTTGGTACGAGTAAACCTGTTTTAAAACACCCTTTACATCGGTGGATGTGAACAGAGACCCCAATTCATTCAGCGACAACCACGAAACACATTCTGCTATAACCAAACAACATTTTCAGCAATTCCCTAGCGACAGTTATGCAGTGTAAACAGACCAGTTGGGTGCCACGTGTATGCAATTAAAATATGAAAGAGGAGATAAAACATTTCACTTAATAGCTATGAGACAGGAAAGTGCACAGGTGGATTTTGACGAAGCGCTATAAGATCTTGTGCGTGAAATGTAAGTCTGGTTGTGTTTTGATGTTCACAGTTTTTTCAAGGAGAACGAATCCGTTTATTTACAGTGGTCGATGAAAGAAGAAGTTAAGAACTGGCTGGCTCAAGTTATGGCGCTTAAACAAGATTGTTTCTCTTAACGTTTACGGGTGACGTGTTTATTTGATTGGTCATAATACGATGATTAATAATAAATATAATTGCAATTTAGAGAAAATGTTCTTTATACTATATCAAGAGTTCGTGGTATCTGATGATTGCAAATTGTTCGTTAAATTGGCACGTCTATCATTTTTAAAAGCATTTCACAATAGATATAGGTTTACTTGAAGTTTATTTTCACGAAGACCGCGCAAACAATCCTCAGACTTATTTAAAGAAAATCAAGGATTATGTCTTCAGCAGCAAGCAGGCACAAATACAGTCTATTCACTATTCTGTTTGATTGCAAGATTCTCACCATTTCTTCGTATGTACATGGTATTTGTGGAATAGACTTTTGAACAAAGTATTGTAATAAATAAATTAAAATTTGCGTCTCATGTAGCTTTCTTGAAACTCGACTGAATTCTGTTGGAGACCTGCAACATATTGAGATAGCATTCCGGACTTTTGCAATTTTCAAGACCATATATGGTCCTTCCTTCAGGAGAGAGTCTATTCTCATACAAATTTTAATTCGTTGTGAGTGTGTTAGTCTGCCTTCGAGCAAATTTCTTTGAGGAATCATATAGTTTGGAAAATTGTTCGTCACAACAAAATGCTTCAGGTAGGCAAGTGCCTTTTTAAGTGACACTATCAATGCATATTGGGTAAAATAATTATAGTCATTCAGTTCAGCTAACCAGAATACTACATTTTTCATGAGATAGGAAGACATATCTTTACTTAATGGTTTCAAGGTAACTTTAGCAATTTGTTTCAACAACGTGAAAACTTTTGTAAGACAATCATTCAAACTATGAACTAATCTTATTTCTCCTTTGGTGTAGCATATTCTCCATTCTAAGAATTGGAAATTGCTAGTCGTATTTCCTACCGGAACAACGTGTGAATCTAAACATGAAACTTCTCTTATGACTGTAATAGACGGCCACTGATACTTTCTTCTCCTACACACCCATGCCTTTACATATGTAGGACACTCACATTTTAAAGCCACCACAAAGTCTCCCGAGAATGCAATGCTGTTCCATACTACTGAAGGACCTTGAGTTTCATTTTTTACATTCATAAACCCTTGATTTTCAGGCAAATTATTAGTTTCAATGCATAATTTCTTCATTTCATTTTTAAAAAAGTCACTAGAAAGGTATAAGCTATCCGGACATAGTTCAAGCATGGAATCATAAAATAATGCCGCTGTTGCAAGACTGTTACAGATGTGAACAGTTCGGAGTACAGAATAACCAGGGCGCGAATGATCAAAAACTAGTTTAAATTGGTGTTCTTTTTCATATATTACTAAATTTGAATGTTCTTTGCAAACTGTGTCCATTAAAACATCCATTACATCAACATCGCTCTCTGATGGAGCTATCAGACACTCAGCTGTACTCCCAACGGTAAGTCTGCTTAAACGAAGTCCAACACTGATTTTTTTTTGACAACGTCTGCAAGAAAACTACATATTTGTCTTCTAAATGCTATCATTTGTTCTCCATATCCGATGTCAGCAAGTAAGTTTGAAATAAAAATCGATTGGTTTTGATACTGTGTCATTTTTCTGTTGTATTTCTCTTAAAATTGCATCCCTTTTTGAAAGTCTAAAATATACATACAGAAATATGTTATTAATATCAAAATACATTCATGCATTAGATAAAAGTAAACTATAACATTTCACCTCTTTTTCTATAAGAAACATTTTGTAAGTGAAATGACCTTTGTTAATAGGCCAGTATCATTTTCGTCATGAGTAATACTATTGTTAAGTACCTACAATAATTACTGAATGAAATTTTTCAACATTAAGAATATGATTACTAATCATCTTAAACATATTTTTCTTTATAAAGTATTGTAACCTATGTATACTATGTGCCTTTCATTTATGTTCAAATTGTGATTTTCTCTGTGATTTGAAAGATCTGTTTCCTATGTCATACATTAAAATAGCTTGAGGATCAAAATGGAAATAGGAATTTGTGTGTGTGTGTGTGTGTGTAATACTGTATCGACAAGACTGTCACGCAACTTTAGTGGTGAAACAAACACAGGGCTGTTGTTTAAACACTAAAAATTACTATGGATATGCATGAAATACACATATCTTGACCACATTAATTACTGATGAGCCCAATATCATAACATTACAAGTCTAATTCAAGATTTTCTTTATCTTTGAGTTAATCAGTATTGTAAATGCAATTTAAACGATCGTTGTGTCTTTAGATAATGAGTGTTCATAGCTAAAGTACTAGATTTGCTATTGATAAAAATAAGAATTGAAATAGCTCATGATAAAGGCTTTAATGTTTACCTTTGCTTACACATACTTACATAACGAATTGTAAGACTTTAACACAATACAGTGAGAAGAATGAAGAAGAACAATTCATTGAAAAATCACAGCTACGACATTATAGTGGGAAAATATACCAATTGATTCTAAATTTGGAGATATAAATATAGAAACGTCTACAATATTTCAGCAATTATTTTTTTACAAAATATCTGTCAACATGCACTGCAATTTCACATTGACGGGCTAGTAGATCATGTACCTACTACCTATACTATCTAATGTTTCGAGTTAGGACGGTTCCCGCTATATATAGATTGTAAAATATTGGTGAAAATTGCAACAGTCAGATAATATAAACAGGGTTTGATAGATTGTATTAAGGACATAAAAACTGGGTTTCAAACGTTAAAATATTACTAAGTGAATATGGATTTGCAGATGTTTTCCTCAATCCTAGATCGGTTGAAAAATTGTCCTAATATTTCTAAGATACGAATCGTTGATTGTTATAAACAAGATTGGAATATTTGTGCAGTGCTTGAAAATTATAAACATATTAAGCAAGAGCTAGCGTATGAAACAGATTTGGATATTTTACCTTTTAATCTAAGAAGTTATTATACAACAGCACACTCACTTAGGATACAGACCGGTCGTTATTCAAAAAAAATAGAATACTTAGAAATGAACGATATTGTTTGCAATGCAATTTGTTAGACTTAGAAGATGAATTTCACTTTTTATTTAAATGCCCATGTTATGTAGACATGAGAAAGAAATACATTAAAAGATACTTTTTTTCAAAGGCCTAGTGTGTTTAAAAGGATGCAGCTGCTAACAAATAAAAATTATACGGTACGTAATAACAAATGTAGCAAAATATATTAAAGCCGCTACAAAGTAAGACTTTCACTGATAAGTAACTTATATTCACGTACATTGTTTATCCCGTGTATACTGTTTCACACTGTTCATCCTCTCTATACTGTTTAATCTTAATTAATTGATATCAAATTATATGATTACAAGCAAATGTTCTTTTGAACACTATAACTTTTGTTTGTTAAAATGGTTTCTCGACCTATTTACATGATTAATTTAAATTATATGATTGCATATATGTGTTTATTGTATGATGATAAACTTTTGCACACATCTCAAATACAATCCCTGCTTAGTTCTACTTAGTTTGTATTATTGTGCAATCAATATATTTTTCATGTGTATATATAACCATGTGACATGGTATATTGTATTATATTTGCAAGTCAATGTTTTATATACATGTCTCAAATAAAATGTCTGTTCGTTCTGTTCTGTTCTAAAACCTGACAAAATAGGCAAGACATATATTGAAATGTTTAAAATATCCCTTCGATAACATTTACTCCAGCATTTTAAGACTTGAAAATTGAGTACCGCTCAAGCCTGTGTAAGGGGGGGGGGGCGTGAGAGATGTTGCACTTTTCATAATCCGTGATGTGCAAATTCTATCAAACTTTGTCTGTAATTTTCATGTATTTTTGTTGTAATTAATACTTTTGAGGCATCACATTCATGATAAATCTTTTGTTTTGATTATTTGTAATGGCATCTTCTGTCATAAAATAAATCGAAAAATGACTAAAAAACCATGTTTATCCTTTTTAGAAATAAAATGCCCAGAAAAGTACAGTAACAACAATGCCTTACAAAATAAAGATTTTGTTTGTACAAAAAAACAGAAGTCAGCTTTATCTGAAAAGAACACAGAAACTATAAATATCAGATGATTAGTAGTATAGGATGTTTATATCTGACCCAGCAGGTACATCAACGTTGCTACAACATTGAAATATTTTCAGATTTCAACGTTTACAAAACGTAAGATTTATGTTTGAATCAGAGAGTTGAAACAACGTCGCTGTTTCAACGTCAGCCCAACGTTGAAGTTTAAATGTCCTTACAATGTTGAAAATGTACAATACAGATTAAGTCATTATGATATTGCAAATCGTATGTTTGTATTTGCATTTATTTAACTGTCAGTAATACGATATCTTTTTATTATGTGGCAAAGGCATCATACAAAAAGCTTCATTCGTTAACAATAAATATATTGCATTTCATAACATTTTTTGTGGGTTCGTTTTAACTGCTTATATCAAACATTTCTGGTTTAAAACAAATACACGCAGAGTTACTGAAATTAATCAAAAATCATTTTGGTAGGGTGAAGATTTGAATATTAATATTATTTTGTTGATTTTCAAATTCATAAGTGTACGTAAAACATTTGTCATCATAATGTTATATATGAGTACGAGTATGACTAGGTCTGAAGAAGAGAAAGCATAATTTGAAAACCCTGTGTTAAACTATTTCAGATTAATCATGAGTATGAACTAAATCATTCTTTTATAACAGATCTGGTAAAGATAAAGTCTGGATATCCAGTTTTATACCTCCCGTCAGATGGTGCTATGGAAGCTTATTCGCTATCATGATGACACCATTTCTTAGAGATTTCCAAGTAGAAAAAAAGTTATCCAGGCAAATGACACAGATATTGAACATGCTATTAGGAAAGACACTAAACAAATTTTAATAAAAACTTGAAAGTGGTGATATTCTATGAAAAATTGATCGGAGTAAAAGTTAAATCGTTTTCGGAGAAAAGCGCTATACAAAAAGCTTATACATGTATTTTGATATACATTCAATTCTAACTAGGATTTTGAAAAACAATATGTTTAACATCCATCACGCTCATCGACATATGGTACATGTACTTATAGTTATGATCAGTTTTTGTTGCACATTGTTATTGCGAGCTCTAGCAGTAACAACTTTTGAGGCAAAGCAAAAGTGAGGCCACAGAACATTACAGTGTCAATTATTTCAAAAATATGAAATTTCCACATCAAGCCAATTTCTTTTAAAACATATCAGATTATGTAATTTTGAAATTAATAAAACGTATATTACATCAATAGAAAAGTCTCATCAGGTATTAAAGATATATGATCTTTTCAGAGGTATTTTTGTTTTTCAAAGATTTGTTGTCTCCGGCTGTTTCATAGTTAATATGTTTACGAAAATGATATAATAACGAACTTCAAATTACTGTTTAAAATAGCTCATTTAATTTATACAAACAAATGTTTATTTACCTCTATGTATTTGTGCCGTCATCCAAATTCAGTATGCTAGCCTTCTTTGCATACAAATGAACGTCAGAACAATTTATCTCATACCGGTATTTTGTTATCAAACACTATCTATTAAAACTATGATGACCGATTAACCCCATATCGTATTTGGTTTTCCACAACGGAATTGGGGGAAAACACGTATGTACGGTCAAGTTACTTTGAACCTGACATGAAAAATTAAACTCAGACATAATTATATGCTTAATTCCTATACATAAAAGCTTCAAAGTGGATGCTCACCACCACATTAAATATTCATTCACAAGATATTCCAACCACATTAAATATTTATTCAAAAGATATTCCAACCACATTAAATATTTATTCACAAGATATGCACCTATTATGACAGACAGTTACCTGTTACATATGTTGGTGTAGTTTTACAGGTTGATGCGACCTTTCTACGCATGTTACACTTTCAGGGGTAGATAATTACACAAGTTAGATGATGACCTCTATTTTTTCATCAACATCAATTTATTTCAATCACAATTCTCTTAAATCATCGTAGTTTAAGAAAATTATTTGCCTTAGCTTAATTTTTCCTCCCTTGCCTTTGTGAACAAATACTAAATGTGTTCCCATTAGGGGCCTTATACTTTATACATTGTACATGTAACATTAAATTCAGATAAACTATCAAATGGTATACATATCGTATAAACACTGCTTATCAATATTTTATCAGCGTCAAAGTGTATATGCTTAAATTATAATTTCAAATGTTACATAGTTCACATGTTGATAAATATCTGATTATATCGTCCCAGTTCGTGAACATTGAAAACTGTCATACCTTGACAAAAGTTTATTTATTAGAGAAATGTATTGCTAAGCAATGTTTACTTGAAGCTTTGCAAGTTACCGTAATAAGCTACGATTTACACGTTTGTTATAAATGAGTTCATTTCTCGATACTTAAAATGCGACCCAATGGCTTAGTGATATATACGACGGAAATGTAATCGCTTAGTTATATATTTAAATACTCGACAAACCTTTTTTTCAATTTCTTTTTATAAAATTAAGTAAATTAAATTAAATTAATTCTTTCTTAATTATATGCATAATAAGTGGATCATTCATTTGTTCAATTGCTGTATTCTTTTTTTTATTTTAAAGTAAAGAAACCTTGATAAATATAATGGTTTATACTTTTTTTCATTGATTCCAAGTAAAGTTGTTAAAT